AGCCTGGACTGGGAAACCTTTGAGCAGTACTGTGCCTGGCAGCTCTTCCTGGCCCACAACATCCCCCTGGAGACCATAATCCCCATCCTGCAGCACCTCAAATACAAGGGTGAGTAGGATTGTGGGTAGAGAGCATGGGAGAGAGGACACTCCCAGTCCTAGAGGCCTCTAGGCTTTTAGATGAGCCCAGATCCGCTGTTCCCCTTCCCACTGAAGTGCGGAAGGGCGGGCTCCCTGCCGGTCACTTCTGCCCTTTAGATGAGTCCTGCAGGCCCCCTCTCAGCCAGGCACGGGGCTGGGACTCAGGTTGCTTGGGATTTTATAGGAGTTGGGTAGGGGAATGTTCTTCCTGGCTCCTTGTGGAAGATTGTCCTTGCTCCTTCCAGTGGTTGGGGTATGGGAGAGGTGCCAGGTTTTCTTCCTGGAATGATGCATTCCTCTGAACAGCAGCCTCTACCCTTCCCCCACAGAGCACCCAGAAGCCCTATCCTGCCTGCTGCTTCAGCTCCGAAGAGAGAAGTGAGTTCCATTGCGGGGGCTCTTTAGCTCCCAATCCCAACACACCAAGAGGTGCTGCCGTATAAAGGGCTTCTGTCTTGCTCCTTTGGCCATGTGTTTTCCTATTGACATCTGCTTTTTCTGCCCTTCCCCCAAAGTGATTTACAAATAAGCAGCTCCCCTGGGATCTGGGCTTCCTCTCGACTTTACCCCCCTGCCCACCAGGAGCTGCCCTTGGAGGTGGGGACCGGACATCCCTGTTTCCTGCTGCCACAGCAGTTCTAATCCCCGGTGGCTCCTGCTCCCCTCCCCCACCCTCCTGAGGCCACAACGTGGCTAATCCAAGAGGAGGAAAGGTCAGAGTAGAGGGGTCACACACCTTCCCCTCCCTCAACCTGCAGAGAGCAGAGCTGGCTGGGGCCCCTCCCTTCGTTACAGGCCCTTTTCCAACAGCCCCAGATAAATGGGGCAACAGCTGTGTATCTTTTCCTTCCTACCTTCTTGCCTTCCTTCCCCTTTTTCTCCTCTCTCGCCTAAGAGACTAGAAATGGTACAGAGTGTCCTGAAGGAAATGGGCAGGTTGGAGGGCCATGTGGGGCTGTGGCTTCCCAGCCCTGTCCCCTGTGCCTTCCTCTGGCTGGATCCTGGGGTGACCCGCAGCTCTCCCAGGGCAGGGCTGGGGGGTGTCCACATGCCACATGCTGGTCCTCTTGCCTCCCTGGCCCATTTCCTGACTGTTCTGGGCAAAGTAGGGGAGATTTGGTGGGCCTCCTTCCCAACACACACACACACCTTCTACTACCACAGAAACTGAAGAATCTCACTTCTTGTCTCTTGGCTTCTGCAAAGAATGAACCCAGGCATTCCTTGGCCCAAAGAGAAGAGGGAGAGGGATGTGAGAGTAGGAAGCTGCAGCGAGACTTGGGTGGGGCACGGGTGGGGGCGCTTGGATTTGGGAAATAAGTAGGTGGGAGAGATCCAGCAGTGCCTGAGACCAGCTGTGCAAGCAGGTGCCCACCGCCCCGCTCACATCCCCAGGCCCAGCGAGGAGATGGTGAAGATGGTGCTGAGCCGGCCTTGCCACCCTGACGACCAGTTCACCACCAGCATCCTGCGGCACTGGTGCATGAAGCACGATGAGCTGCTGGCCGAGCACATCAAGTCCCTGCTCATTAAAAACAACAGCCTCCCACGCAAGAGGCAGAGGTGGGACTTGGGCCTTATGGAGGCCCTCAGGCCAGGGCAGCCCCACTGACCACAGGCCATCTCCAGGGCAGGCCAGTGCCCCTGTCTGGTTTGTGGGCGACATCTAGTGGTCTGAAGCTACATAGCATGCAGGACCACTGTGGCCCCGTCCCCTTTTCCTAGTGCCCTGTGGCTGGTCCCTGTTCTAGGCACACCTCCCTTGCCCCACTCCACCCCTCCCAGCCTTCCTATCCCCCTCCCTGGATGGGATGCCTCTGTCTTAAGGCGGGACCCTGGTGGGGGAGGGTGTCTGACACTCCTGGAGCCCTCACCTCAAGCTCAGACTCTGGCTCTCGTGACTTCCCCACAGTCTGAGGAGCTCCAGCAGCAAGCTGGCCCAGCTGACTCTGGAGCAGATCCTGGAGCACTTGGACAACCTGCGTCTTAACCTGACCAACACCAAGCAGAACTGTATGCTTTCCAGCCCTCTCTGAGTCTAGCATGCGCGGTGCTGCCTTGACTCAGACCGCCTCTGGAGCCGGGAGGGAGGCGGGGGCAGGAGAAAACAACCCTTGGGTAGCATTGAAGAAGCTCCCAGACATCTCATTGTTCTTTCTTCCCTGCTCTCCTTTCCCTCTGTCTCTAGTCTTTAGCCAGACCCCAATTCTCCAGGCTCTGCAGCATGTCCAGGCGAGCTGTGATGAAGCCCACAAGATGAAGTGAGGCTCCTTGTGCTTTTGGCTTTGGGAAGTAGTGGGAGAAGGCCTAGGGGAGGGGGGCCTGCTGGGGACACAGACTGAATGACCAGCACGTGAGGTTGAAGAGAAATAGAGACCCGGGCATGGGGCAGAGAAAAGAATGGGAGGGCGGCCATAGGGCCAGGGTGCCCCGCTCTCAGAGTTTGTGCTCCTCTCTGGCAGGTTCAGCGATCTGTTCTCCCTGGCCGAGGAATACGAGGACTCTTCCACCAAGCCACCCAAGAGCCGGCGAAAAGCAGCTCTGTCCAGCCCCCGAAGTCGAAAGAATGCCACACAGCCCACCAATGCTGAGGAAGAGTCAGGCTCCAGCAGTGCCTCGGTGAGACCCCTAGTCCTGCACAGGAGGGAAAGGAGCAGGTGGGTGCAGGTGGAGTTGGGGCCAGCAGCTGCTCAGGCTAGTGATTCCCGCCCCCATCTCTTCCAGGAGGAAGAAGACACGAAACCGAAGCCCACCAAGCGGAAACGGAAAGGGTCCTCTGCAGTGGGGTCTGACAGTGACTGAGACCCTGTGTTGCCCATCCCGCCCCCAGTTGGACTGCCCTCCCCTACTTGGTGAATCACAGGTTAATAGGGGCTGGGGACATAGTGGGGGAAACACCCTCTCCCCATTCCAAAGCTCACGTGGTGGGAAGGATGAGCTGCCTCCTTTGGCCCAGCCTGAGAGCTGCCATGCAGCCCCCAGCCCCTCCTCCCTTCTCTATGGGGCCTCCAGCCCCATCACACTGCTGCTCCCACCCCTACTTGGGTTTCCACTGAAGCCAGAGGCTGTGCAAAACTGGACTGTGGTGGAAGTCCTCAGCCCCCTCCCCCCTCCCCCAGCCTCCTCCCCCAGCCTCCTAAAGAGCTATTTCAAAAAAGAAGAGAAATGGTAAAGGGGAGCTGGCCAGAGAGGCCAGAATGAGAGTAAAGACTCAGTGTGTGGCGCCCCTTCCCACTCCCCCTTCAGGTCTTGATGTGCTCTGAACAGGCATTTTACAGTCGCTCTCCATACACCAGTATGAAATGGGCATTTAACCAGTGACGTGGTCTGGCTGCCTGTTCCTCACCACAGGACAAATGCCACCAATGTTCAGGCAGGAACCCCAGAGGGAGGCCACAGCCCCCCTGGTGTGCCCTGCAGTCTCGTTGTTGGCCTGCAGATCGTCACCTCAGGCTGGGCCAGAGCCCTGGGAGGCGCAGAGATGCCTTCCACAGAGCTGTCAAATGGTCCCACTTCTTTGGTTCTGTCTTTTGTTTCTTTTTCTTTTCTTTTTTGGCAGAGATAATCGCGTTTTAAACGTTGTTTTTAAATGACAATAAAACAAGCCAGAACCTCTTTTGTGCCAGAGTTGCTGCCCCCACTTACCCTGTGCACGTGCAGGTAGTCTCATTTAATTGGCACCCCTCCTGTGGCTTCACAGCTGCCCCCTTTTCCCTTCCTGCCTGTCCCCCTTCTTGTCTGGAGCAGGAGGGGCTTGGCTTTGCCCGCCATCCTTCCTGCTGCCACTGACGGCCGGGGCCAGGCACTGACCTGTCCAGGCAGAAATTGATGCCGGCACCATCTCCTCATAGGCTGTCTGTCCTTAGTCATCTCAAGAAACTAGAGGCTTCCAAAAGCTAGTATTTGCCATACTCCAATTAGTAAGTCTGTACGCTTACCAACTACTGGAGGACTGACCGTTGGGGGCGAGGGATGCTCCCAACTTGGATCTTGAAGGAGAGAAGGTGCCTGGTGGAGGGGGTTCGGGTACCAGGGAGAAGGAACCCTCTTTCTTCCACAGTCTGGCCACTTGCCAGTCTGTGGGTACCAGCAGAAAAGAGCTCCTTGGCTGTGCTTTTGTTCCCTTGCTGTCCAGGGACATTGGGTGGCAGGCTGAGGAGAGAGGAAGGAAGTTTGGGCTGATGGCAGACAGCACCTCCTATTCAGCCTGTAAATGTGTCTCTCAAAGCTGCTACTCCTTCCTTTGAAAGTCTAAACCTCCAGAGGCCTCCTTTTTTCCTTCCTCTCTCCTTCCCCAGTTTTCTCTGCCCCAATTAAAACCAGGATGGAAAGCATTCGCTGGCTGGCCCCAATTATTGTACTCTTGCCCAAAGGGAGGGGCCTCCGCCGTGGCCCCTCCAGAAATCTGCCTGTTGGGGCCTCCACCTTTCCCCTACTTAACTCTCGCCTTCACCCCCCTCCCCCGCCCCATCCCTTGAGGTTGCTGCTGTTGCTGGCAGCTGGAGGGAGGGCAGCTGGCTCCCTTGCCGGGACTTGCAGCACCAAACGGCCCGGGCCGAGTTCTTCAGTCTCTCTTGGGAGAGAGCAGTGGCACCCTCCCATCAGGGGTGAAAATAAGATATAAGAGGGAAGGATGGACTGCGAGCCAAATCAGACCAGGACTTAAAGTCCAGCCAGTTGCCTAAACTGCCCTTGAGGAGAAAGAATCTAAACCGGGACACGACCCTGGGATTGAGGAAAGGCGTGAGCACCGCCTAGGACCCGTTAGGGTGCGGGTCGCGGGGAGTCCGGGAGGGAGCGCGCCGAGGGCGGAGCATAGCCGTGGGGAGGGCTGGGAGTGCGGGGCCGCCCCCCACACGCACTCCTCCCGGGCCTCTGCTCCCCGAGGGGGGAGGCTGGGTGGGAAGGGGCGTGTGCCAGCGCACGCGCGGTCCCGGGAAAGAGAGGTCTAGACGAGAGCAAGAGCGAGCGGCCCCAGTTTTGGGGAAGGGACTATCAGGGCTGTCTGCGAGTGGCTGGGGCCAGACGGGGCCGAGTGGAGGAAAAGGGCACCATGGCCACCCTCCTGCTGCTGCCCCTGCTGCTGCTGCTGCCGCTGCTGCTGCTGAAGCTGCGCCTCTGGCCGCAGTTGCGCTGGCTCGCGGCAGACTTGGCCTTCGCGGTGCGCGCCCTACGCTGCAAACGGGCTCTTCGAGCGCGCGCCTTGGCCTCGGCGACCGCCGACCCGGAAGGTCCCGAGGGGGGCTGCAGCCTGGCCTCGCGCCTCGCGCAATTGGCTCGGCAGCGCGCCGCACACACCTTTCTCATTCACGGCGCGCGGCGCTTTAGCTACGCGGAGGCCGACCGCGAGAGCAACCGGGCTGCGCGCGCCTTTCTGCGCGCTCGAGGCTGGGACGGGGGACCCGGCGGCGGCGCGGGGGGCACCGGGGAAGGCGAGCGGGCGGCGCAGGGCGCCCGAGACGCGGCGGCCGGAAGCGGCGCGGCGCCGGCCGCGTGGGAAGGGGATGGCGCGGCCGAAGCTGGAAAAGCCGCTGTCCCTCTGGCACCCGGGGCCACCGTGGCGCTGCTCCTCCCCGCCTGCCCAGAGTTCCTATGGCTCTGGTTCGGGCTGGCCAAGGCCGGTCTGCGCGCAGCCTTTGTGCCCACCGCCCTGCGCCGGGGTCCCCTACTGCACTGCCTCCGCAGCTGCGGCGCGCGCGCGCTCGTGCTGGCGCCAGGTAAGGCTGCAGCGCCCAACCAACGGGGGCGCTGCCCGCCACTGAAGGGCGCGTCGGGCGGGGGTCAGAGAAGGGGTGGGCTCGGAAGGAGGCAGAACTATCTCCCTGAGGTTCTGAAAAAGTGGGTGGGGATATGAGTCTCTGGGTTTGCGAAATGATGCAGCTGGGTCTTTGGTTCCCCAAAGATTCCCAAAGAGTAGGGCTCCAGGTTCCAGATCCTTGACGGGACATCCATACTCTTCACCCTCACCCAAGAGCAGCGCGGGGGAAGGAGGGGCGGGGGCAAATAGCCTAAGGGGTGGGGAAGGCCTCTGGGTAGCGGTAGGGCCGCCCAGCTGTGCTTTCCCACCCCATCCAGAGTTCCTGGAGTCCCTGGAGCCTGACCTGCTGGCCCTGAGAGCCATGGGGCTCTGCCTGTGGGCTGCAGGCCCCACAACCCATCCTGCTGGAATCGGCGATTTGCTGGCTGAGGCCTCGGCTGAAGTGGATGGGCCGGTGCCCGGGTACCTCTCTGCCCCCCAGAGCATAATGGACACGTGCCTGTACATCTTCACCTCTGGCACCACGGGTGAGGGCTGGACACCATGCTTACCCCACAGAAACTACGTCAGAAGAAGGAGGGAATCGGAACTGTGACCTCCTCAGCTCCCAGGCCACCCCTCCAAAACCCCCAGAGAGGATGCTGATCCCGGCAGCCAGCCATATCCTGTCTCTCGCTACCCCTCCTGCCCCTCTTCATTTCTCCACCTCCGAACTTCCCACATTTCCTGGCCTCCCTTCTCCTCAGCTTCCCTGTTGCCTCTGCCTCTTTCTTGGGGAAACCCAGCAGGGGCAAAGAGGGAGGCAGGGCTTGGAGGTCTGACCCTCTCCCTGATCTCCCCGCCCCGACTCTGCAGGCCTCCCCAAGGCTGCTCGGATCAGTCATCTAAAGATCCTGCAATGCCAGGGGTTCTACCAGCTGTGCGGCGCCTGCCAGGAGGATGTGATCTACCTCGCCCTCCCACTCTACCACATGTCTGGCTCCCTGCTGGGCATTGTGGGCTGCCTGGGCATTGGTCAGTGTCCCCCACCCTAACCCCCCTTTCAGTCCTCCAGCAAATGTTTGTTCCAGCAAACATTTATTAAGTACCTATGTGGTATGCTCACCTGAGGATGCTTCCTGAGTCCTTCAGGGTAGAGAATCCAGAGGAAGGAGGAGGCAGGGGCCTACTCTCCAGGAGCTCCTGGTACAATGGCGAAGCGTCACCTGCACAGACCTACAGACTGAGCAACTAGGGAGGCCATACGGTTCACAGGAGTCCCGACTCCAGGGGCAGGGGAGGGAAGGGCTGCGAGTGTCAGCCTAGGAAGAAGCAGATGGAGAAGAGCTTGTGACCTGGGGCGGGAACGGGGGATGGACTGCTTCGGGGTGGGAAGTAGGGAAAGGGCCTTAAGCTGTTCAAGACACAGGTGGGAAAGGAAGAGGGCCACTTGGCCTGCCGGAAGTGTGAATGTCACAGCAGGGCCTTCCTGGGGACTGCAGTACAGTGAAGGCTAGTGTCTGGGAAGGAGGGGGTCAGGGCTCCCCCTGCAGCCCTCAACCTCACTTCTTTCCTTCCTCCTCTTTCTCCCCGCTTCTGGCAGGTGCCACAGTGGTGCTGAAGTCCAAGTTCTCGGCTGGTCAGTTCTGGGAGGACTGCCAGCAGCACGGGGTGACGGTGTTCCAGTACATCGGGGAATTATGCCGGTACCTTGTCAACCAGCCCCCGGTGCGTGGGCACAGATCCCGGGCAGAGCCGAGGCAGGGAGATGGGCAGTGGAAGGGAGACACTGAGACAGCTATCTGGGAGTTGGAGGGAGTGGAAGCAAGAAGAAAATGGCAGAGTGGGAAGGAGCCTGGGATGGTAGGACACCTGATGCTTAGGGCATCTGAAGGAGGCCACAGTGCAGGGGGCCTCTGCAGAGTGGGAAACAGGACTTCACTTTGGGGAGACGGCATCTGGGCGCTGAAGCTCCTGCCCCTCTGCCCACTCATCTCAGAACAAGGCAGAACGTGGACATAAGGTCCGGCTGGCAGTGGGCAGCGGGCTGCGCCCAGACACCTGGGAGCGTTTCATGCGGCGCTTCGGGCCCCTGCAGGTGCTGGAGACGTACGGTCTGACAGAGGGCAACGTGGCCACTTTCAACTACACAGGAAGGCCGGGCGCCGTGGGCCGCGCCTCCTGGCTTTACAAGGTGAGCAGGGAGGGAGCTGGAGAACCCGCGGCACTGGGGAGGCCTGGTGGGGAGGGGCTCATGCGACTGAAATGACCCTGCGCCTGGGTCTCCCTTCCCCAGCATGTCTTCCCCTTCTCTTTGATTCGCTATGATGTCACCACAGGGGAGCCGATCCGGGACACCCGGGGGCACTGTGTGGCCACACCTCCAGGTTCGTTCTCAGGTGGGGTGGGTGGAGGTGGTGGAGCTGGAAGGGAGGATTGGCACTGGAGAGTGGAGTGGGGGGCAGCCACCCCTGACCCCAGTGACTCTGCCAGGTGAACCAGGGCTGCTGGTGGCCCCCGTGAGCCAGCAGTCCCCATTCCTGGGCTACGCCGGGGGGCCAGAGCTGGCCCTCGGAAAGCTGCTGAAGGATGTCTTCCGGCCTGGGGATGTTTTCTTCAACACCGGGGACCTGTTGGTCTGCGATGACCAGGGCTTTCTTCGCTTCCATGATCGGACTGGAGACACCTTCAGGTATCCGTCCATAACCTCCTGACTCCTTTCCTGGGCATCTGATCTCTGTGACCCAAAGCCCCTAAACCTCATCTCCCTAATCTCCCACCCTAACCTGGGTCCTTATCCAACCTGCCAGCTCAGACCTAAATACTTCTTCCCTGTGACCGTCTGTGCCCTGACCTCATCCCTGACCTCTTTCTCTCCCCACCCGGCTCAGAAGGCCCTGACCGCTGACTCCCAGTTTCAAATCTCTGCTCTCTGGCAGGTGGAAAGGGGAGAATGTGGCCACAACGGAGGTGGCGGGGACCTTGGAGGCCCTGGATTTTCTTCAGGAGGTGAACGTCTACGGAGTCACTGTGCCAGGTGCCTATGCGTGGGGGGGGGGCACCCGGCCCACCACCCTGAATGGGTGTTCCTCGGGCGCAGGAAACATGAGGCCTCGTGGTAGTCAGCCACCGCGGCTGACCCTGCCCCCACCCCCACCCCCACCAGGGCACGAAGGCAGGGCTGGAATGGCCGCCCTGGTTCTGCGTCCCCCCCACTCCTTGGACCTCATGCAGCTCTATGCCCATGTTTCTGAGAACTTGCCACCTTATGCCCGGCCTCGATTCCTAAGGCTCCAGGTAACCAGCCACTCCTGCCCCGACCCCTCACCCATATATCCACAGCAGCCCGTGGCTCCCAAACCCCACAAAGGGACCCCCACGTAATACACTCTGGGAAGAAAGAGAAAGAACAGTTCCTTGCCAGACGCAGCTTTCACCCTCTTCGTTCCCTATGCCCCTCCTCCAGGCCTGGCTCCTTGTCTTTCCTGTCACCCCCTCCCCTAAACCCTGACCTCCTTCATACCCCCTTTCCCCACACCCGCCCCTTAACAAATCCAGGGAACTCACCTGGGCAGAATACCCCTCCTTCAGCTCCCTTTGATGCCCCCTCCCCAGGAGTCTCTGGCCACCACAGAGACCTTCAAGCAGCAGAAGGTTCGGATGGCGAAGGAGGGCTTTGACCCCAGTGTACTGTCCGACCCACTGTACATTCTCGACCAGGCTAGGGGCGCCTACCTGCCCCTCACACCTGCTCGGTACAGTGCCCTCCTGGCTGGGGACCTTCGCATCTGAGAGCCCTCCGTGCTGAGGCGTCTGAGGGAGGGACTTTGTGGGGTGGGGGCACTGCAGGTGTACAGGGGCTGTCAGATATCTTTTCTATACCAGATTTGTAATCATTATTTTGTAATAAATGGGGCTGGAACCAATCTGCCTCTGTCATTCTGATCTCCAGTATCCGTCTTCCCTCTCTGTCTGTTGAACTGCTTCCCTCTGACATTTTCTCCTGGCACAGAGACCCCTGCACACCTGCTCGGACTTTATGGGGGCACAGCTCAGTGTCTGGGCCTCGGTGTTGTTCCTCTCAGGGACTCCATGGGATCCTTGTCCTCGGAGAACCCCTGGTGACTGATGTCTGTCTGTGCTGTGTGTACCCATCACAGTCACTCCCTGAGTGCAGGGCCCCCACTGCTCTCTCTGGGGAGCTGGAGGACCTGAGGGGTTGGCTCAATGGCAGAGGAGGACAGAGGCACAGAAACAAGCCCCTGTGGCCTGTCAAAACTTCTCCACAGACTCAGGTGTGGTTAGGGCCTGGGGAAGAGTCTCAGCCAGGCAAAATCAAGGTTTGATTTTGGGGAAAAGGATACTCTAGGCAACCCCCCTCCCCTCACAGCTGTCTTTGATAAGCTAGTCAGAGAGCCCCCCAACTCAGATGTTCCTAATTTTGTCTAATTTTAGTCATACATTCCCAGAAGTAGCAGCCCAGGTTGGGGCCCCTCAGGGTCTGGTAGAGTTTGACGGAAGCCCCCCACCTCGGAGCAGGGCTCAGAGTGCATGTGTGCATGTGGCAGCAGGAGGGATGGGGGAATCAAAAGGAAGGCCTCTCCTTGGCCCCAAAATGAGGCTTCAAAAAGTTCATCATCCAAAGACTTGAAATGATGTAACACCTGCTTTTTCTAGCACTAAAGTCCCTCTCTGCTTTAAACCATGGGTGCTCAACATTTTCTGCTACTTTCCTTTGGGTTATCTTCCCCTCCTAACTCCCCTCCCCAACATACGAGGTCAGGGGATGCGCTCTCACCACCTCCACCAACCATGGGTCCCTATGGCTCACCCTCGTCCGAAACATACACTTTGCCCCAGCCTCCACCAACAAACCCAATTTGGCATCACCGACAGACTAGTTGAAGCTCACACTGAAGTGTGGGTGATGTCTTCATGCACTGACCAATAAATGAGGAATTTAGCTCATTTTGCTGCTCACCTCTCTAACTCGCCCCAGGCGGAGTGCAATAGTTAAGGTATGCCTGGGGTGGCCTTGGGTGGTGTGGGTAGGCACGTCACTTGGCTGCAGGGGGCACCTCCTGCAGCTGCCCTCTTAACCACCTTAACTCCGCCCTGGTTTCCCAGGACTCTGAGCTGAACAGCCATCTCCTCCCTTCTGGAATCACACACTACGTTCTTTGACCCACCACCCCCATTTCATTTGGTCTAAATCTGCATTGTCCAATATGGCAGCCACTAGCCACACACGCTTATCGAGGGCTTGAAATGTGGCCAGTCTGAAGCGAGATGTGCTGTAAGTGTAAAATACCAGGTTTCAAAGACATAGTTCCAAAAAAAACTAAAATATTTCCTTAATAATTGTTTTATATTGCTTACATGTTGAAATACTATTTTGTATGTATTGGGTTAAATAAAAATATATTAAAATGAATTTCACTTGTTTATTTTTACTTTTGTAAATGTGGCTACTAGAAAATTTAGAATTACATATGAGCCAGGTTGTGTTTCTACTGAATGGCGCTAGCCTAAATCCTGTCCCCACACCTCACTTGGCAAACCCACAAATGCCAAGTATAGCATGTGGGTTGTACCTGTGTCGTGCCTGCTCTCCAGTGTCTGCACTTTAGCAAGGACAGCTGGGAGGAGGGGGTTCTGTTCCAACCAGCAGAGCCAGCTGTCTGGGGCTGGCATTTGTCCTCCAGACGGAGCTTCAGCTCTGAACCAGCTTTGCCACAGAGGCTATAACTAGTGGTAGAAATTGAGCTGCAAGAGGGCACACTTTTGATCCAAAAGAGTTAGGTTTTCCATTTACCACAGTTAAAAATAAATTAAAATAAATTTTAAATGAATCAAGTTTTCCGGCCAGCCCAGAGGTAGCCTAGCAGTTACGCGTTCTGCTTCTGCGGCTGGGGGTTCGCTGGTTCGGATCCTGGGCAAGGACCTGGGAACCACTCATCAAGCCATGCTGAGGTGGCATCCGGTATAGAAGAGCTACAACTCTACAACTATGATACACAACTATGTACTCGGGCTTTGGGGAGAAAAAAGAGGAAGACTGGGAACAGAAGTTAGCACAAGGCCAATCTTCCTCAAAAAAAAAAAAAGAATTAAGTTTTCCTACAAAAGAGCCTTCGAAGTAAAATAAACCGAAATTATGAGATAATTTGCAGATGAAATAGGTCAGTCCTCAGGCAGTGCGTTCCCTTTCTGAGGAGGCTGGTCAACCACGCTGGGACGCGGGCGTGGGAGGGCGGTGCAACCCGGGAACTTCCGTCTCACCCCCTCCTCAAACCATGGCTGTGTCTCAGCTTTGTGTCTGTGGATTCCCGGGAGTACCCGACAAATTGAGGAACCAGTAAAGGCAAGGGTCAGCAAACCACACTGCCTGGGTTTTTTTACAGCCAGGGAGCTAGGAATGGTTTTTATATTTTTACATGACTGAAAAAACAAAAGATTTCATGACATGTAAACATTATATGGGATTCAGATTTCAGTGTCCATAGGAGTTTTATTGGAACAGGCCACCTCGTGCGTTTATATGTTGTCTAGGGCTACCTTCATGCTACAAAAGCACAGCTGAGTAGCTGTGACAGAGACCGTGGCCTGCAAAGCGTAAATGTTTACTATGCGGCCCTTGACACAAACTCCGCCAAGCCCTGTTCTGGGGCCTCGTCCTCCCGGCGGCGCCGCCGATTCCCACGCGCCCGGGGAGGAGGACCGCGCCGGCGCCGGAGCCGGGAGACGGCTGACAGGGAGGGTCGGGGGCCCTCGGGCGACGCTTAGTGACCGCTCCCTGTGGGGCTTGGCAGAAAGGTCTCGGCCTCCGGCGCTGCCTGAGACGCCTGGGTGGAGCAAGGCCGCTAAGCGTCAGCAACCCGGCTCCTTTCCGCGCCCGCAAAAACACAGCTTCTGGGCGCCCGAGCCGAGCGGGGCCGGCAGCCTCGCGGCCCCCACGTCCTGGCGCGAGGGAGGCGGGGCGCGCCCGGGGGTGGGAGGAGTCATCCCTCGTGGGCGGGGCGAGCCTCCTGCGCCTTCCGACCTAGAAAGGCGCCTGCGCACTTGTGCTCCGCGGCCGCTCCGAGCTCCTGGTAAAACTAAAAGACGAGTGGAGGGGCGGGGCCAAAGTACCTGGACTTGCCCTGTTTGGGCGTCTAGGGGACAAAGGAGGGGAGAATTCTTTTTTTCCTAGAGATGTAATTCACATACCATAAAATTCACCCTTGTCAAGTGTAAAGTTCAGTGTTTTTAGTATATTCATAAATCTGTGTAACGGTAGCCGCTGCTAATTTAGAACATTTTCATCACCCCTAAAAGAAATGCTTACCCGTTAGCAGTCACCCTCCATTCCCCCCTCACCCCAGTCCCTGGAAACCACTAATCACTTTCTGTGTCTATGGATTTACCTATTCTGGAAATTTCATATAAATAGAATCATGGCATATGTGGCCTTTTGTGTCTAGCTTCTTTCACTTAGCATAATGTTTTCAAGCTTCATCCATGTTGTAGCATATATCAGTACTTCCCTCTTTTTTTTATTTTACCAATTTGTTGAGGTAAAATTCACATAACATAAAATGAACCATTTTAAAGTGAACAATTCAGTGGCATTTAATACATTCTTATGTTGTGCAATCACTGCCTCTAGTTCCAAACCATTTCCATTATTCCAAAGTAAAAGTCCTTGTCCATTAAGCAATTCCTCCCCCAACCCCCTTCCCCCAGCCCCTGGCCAACCACCAATCTGCATTCTGTCTCTACGGATTTATCTATTCTGGACATTTCAAAATACATAAATGGAATCATACAAGAAGTGACCTTTTGTGTGTGGTGACTTTCACTTAGCATGTTTCCGAGGTGCATCCCCGTTGCAGCATGTATCAGTAATTCAGTTCTTTTTATGGCTGAATAATATTCTATTGGATGTATACACCGCAACTTACCCATTCATCAGTTGATGGACATTGGGCTGTTTCTACTTTTTTGGCTATTTGAATACTGCTATGAACATTCATGTACAAGTTTTTGTGTGGACATATATTTTCAGTTCTCTTGAGTGTATACCTAGGACTGGTATTGCTGGGTCTTATAGAAAATCTATGTTTAACTTTGTGAGGAACTGCCAAACTGTTTTCCACAGTGGCTGCACCATGTTTACATTCCTGCCAGCAATGTATAAGGGTTCCAGTTTTTCCACATCCTCACTAACACTTGTTGTGATCCGTCTTTTGACTACAACAATCCTAGCGGGTGTGATGTAGTATCTTATTGTGGTTTTGATTTTCATTTCTCCGGCTAATGATGTTGAACATCTTTTCGTGTGCTTACTGACCGTTTGTATGTTTTCTTTGGAGAAATGTCTATTCAAATTCTTTCCTTGTTTTTTAACTGGGTTATTTGCCTTTTTATTGTTGAGTTGTAAGATTTTTTTTTACATATTCTGGTCTCAAGTTTTCTATCAGATATATGGTTCACAAACATTTTCTCTCATTCTGTGGGTTGTTTTTTCACTTCCTTGATAGCGTCCTTTGAAACACAAAGGTTTTAAATTTTGATGAAGTACAGTTTATTTTTTGTACAGGGAGACTATTACAAGAGTTAGTTTTCCCCTAAGGACAAATAAAGATATAAAGATATGTTACATTTCATTTGGTAGTGTGTTTGTTAATCATAGTATTGATGTTATTATTTGAAACTATCTTATGGCATATTGTACAATAATACATATGTTAGGAGTCACTGTTTCCAGAGCAATAGAAAGATAAAAGATATAAGTATGAAAGAAGTGAAGTAAACATCTTGTAATGTCACTGTAAAAGCCTAGAGGCAATGGACAATTTGACAGCCATGAAATCTCCTGGTGCCCGGATCCTGGGAGGAAAGGTTGATTCCAGGTCTGGGGCAGGAAATACTCAGGGCGAGCCTTGGGGCATCTTGTGCCAGGAAGTAAAGATACCAAAGAATGGGGGAACAGCCAAAGGACGCAGAGTTCCCACTGCCTAAAACGAGGCAATCTGAATGTCAAAGAGATTGATGAATGCACTCAAAACACTGAATGTACGAAATGTAGCGATTCAGAGTGATGCTACACAGGGCAGGGAGGATAAAGGGAGAGAGACGGAGAGAAACACAGGATAGAGCACCAACTCCTTATTCTGAAAACTGGCAATTCAAGTAAAGAGCTAAGTATTTGTCCCTGTGTGAATTGTATTTCAGGGTTACCAAATCGTCCTAGTTTTTTTTTTTTTAAAGATTTTATTTATTTTTTTTCCCCCCCAAAGCCCCAGTAGGTAGTTGTATGTCATAGCTGCACATCCTTCTAGTTGCTGTATGTGGGATGCAGCCTCAGCATGGCCGGAGAAGCAATGCGTCTGTGCGCACCCGGGATCCAAACCCGGGCCTCCAGCAGCGGAGCGTGCGCACTTAACCGCTAAGCCACGGGGCCGGCCCATCAAATTGTCCTAGTTGATGAGGCAAAGTTCTTCTTTACAAAAGACTTCCAGTTAATGAATGAGAAAGGAATGATAGAATTGGAAAATCACCCCTTTGCAACCTCTAATGAAATAATTGAGTCAGGCAATTATCATCAGTGAATAAAACTATTAGATGAAAGGTTGACGGGGAATTTTACAATGGATGGATCAGATTGTCACCACCAGAAGCCCCTACTCAATCGTAGAATCACTAAAAGTTGGACCACTAGACATCACCTACCTCCTGAAGGTACATGAGCACCTTCTATATAGCACACAGCACTACCTACACAGCTTTCTTCCTTAAAAGTGGAGCCTGAACCCAACCAAGCCTCTAGGGCCAACATCCATTTATAGATGAACATATTCGATAACACCAAAGAAACCAAACAGATCCAGAATAGGGGCAATTCTACCGGAAAATGTATCCAGTCTCTTCAACAACTCAATGATAAATGGGGGGTGGGGGTGGGGAGGTGCCCTCAATTAGATCCTTAAGAGAAATAACAACCAACTGTAGTGTATGGACCTTGTTCTTGATTTTGAAAACAACAGCAAAATAGAGTAAAAAGACATTTTTGAGACAATCAGGGAAATTTGATTATGGACTAGTTATTACGTGATATTAAGAAATCATTATTATTTTTATTAGATATGATAATAACATTGTGGTTACAAAAAACACATTTATATATTTTATTTTTTTGTGAGGAAGATCAGCCCCGAGCTAACATCCATGCTAATCCTCCTCTTTTTGCTGAGGAAGACCAGCTCTGAGCTAACATCTATTGCCAATACTCCTCCTTTTTTTTCCCCCCAAAGCCCCAGTAGACAGTTGTATGTCATAGCTGCACATCCTTCTAGTTGCTGTATGTGGGATGCGGCCTCAGCATGGCCAGAGAAGCGGTGCGTCAGTGTGCGCCCGGGATCCGAACCCGGGTCACCAGTAGCAGAGCGCGCGCACTTAACCGCTAAGCCACAGGGCCCGCCTATATTTTTTAAAAGATACACATAAGTATATCGGTGTGGAATGAGATGATGTCTGGGATTTATCTGAAAATGCTTCAGCAAAGAAAGAGGGAAAACAGGGAAGATGCGCCCAGCGAAGGGAACAGAGCTTGCGAAGCCCCAGTGACCGTCAAGGGCCCTGACGAGGTGGGTGCAGGTGGGCAGTAGCGGGATTGCCTGGGACTGGTTACTGCAGAGCCTTGGAAGGAACTTCCCAGAGTTAAGACATTACCCTGAGGGCGTGGGAAGCCCAGCACCGGACGGACGGTTGGGGCAGATGAGTGTTAGTGCGCATGCTCACCCTGTAGTAGGGTGGGTGGTGAGGGGGCAGAGGGGGTGGGAGACACTCTGCCTGGCTTTCTGCCCTGCTCTGCAGTGGGGCGGCTGCACTGGGATTCCTAAAAGGGACGTGGACCAGAGCTGAGGGAGTACTGGGCGCGGGTTTGCAAGACCAGGTGGCTCTCCTTCCATCTTCCCCTTAACAAATGTTGACCTAGAGCCTGTCATGTGCTCCAGGCTTTGAGCACACAGTGGGGACATGCAATGGCCCTGCCCTCGTGGAACTCACACTCCAGTGGAGGAGACACGACAAAACCAAGCATATGTGAAAGGAAACGTCATGTGTGACAATGTCGGAGACAGAATAGACAGGAATCGTGTGGAGTCTTCTATATGCTGCTGGAACAAATTACCACAAATGTAATGGCTTCAAATGACACAAATGTATTATCTTACTGCTCTGTAGGTCGGACTTCAGGCACAGGGCTCACTGGGCTAAAATCAAGGTGTCGGCAGGTCTGCATCCCTTTCTGGAGACTCCAGGGGAGAGTCCATTCCTTGCCTTTTCTCCTTTCCAGAGGTCACCCACCTTCTTTGGCTCTCTGCTGCCTTCATCTTCAAGGGACCTTCTTTCTCCTTCTGACTTCTTCTGCCAACCTCTTTCACGTTTAAGGACCCTTGTGATTACTTTGGGCCCACCTGGATAATCCAGGATAATCTCCTTATTTTAAGGTCAGATGACTAGCCACCTCAATTCCTCTTTGCCATGTAACCTAATACATTCCTAATATATTCACAGGTTCCAGGGATTAGGACATGGGTCTCTTCAGGGGCCATTATTCTGCCTGCCTCAGATGGGGAGACAGATGTTGATGGACAGAGAAAGACGGAGGCAGAAAAAAGGGTATGGAGAGAGATACAGATCTCAGTTAAGACGAAAGATGTGGAGAGAGAAAGCAACAATGTCCCAGATGCACAAGGGGAGTCCTGGGAGGATTTCATCTGCCAGGGGGACTTTCCAGGGAAATTGTTCCAGAAAAGCCTGGGGCTGTTCAGGGTTGGGCCATTTGTTAATCATTAGGGAGGGAGGAAAAGAGGAGCAGCTTTCCGAAGATCAGATCAGTCCAGCCCACATTCCCTGAGCTTCAAGGCTATTTGGACTCTATTCTGGGACAGTGCTTCCCAACTTGGGGCTCAGGGGGCATGTGCAAGTGTTCATGGGAATGTGAGTTTATCTCCTATCTTGAGGGTTATAAAAAGAAGTGCTTAGAATATAAAATGCTGCCCCCACTTTGGAAAACAGCTTGGCAGTTCCTCAAAGTGCAGAGTTACCACATGACCCAGCAATTCCATTCCTAGGCATACACCTAAGACAACTGAAAACATTATCTCCACACAAAAGCTTATACACAAACGCTCATAGCAGCATTATTCATAATAGCCAAAGAGTGGAAACCACCCAAATCTCCACCATCTGGTGAATGGATAAACAAATGGTGGTAGAGCCATACAATGGAATAGTATTCAGCCATAAAAAGGAATGAAGTACTGATATCTGCTACTATATGGATGAACCTTGAAAAAATTATGCTAAGTGAAAGAAGACAGACACAAAAGACCTCATACTGTATGATTCCATTCACGTAAGATGTCCAGAATAGGAAAAGACAGGAAGCAGATTAATGGTTGCCTGGGGCAGGGCGGGCAGCTGGGCAGTAAATGTTAATGGGTACGGTTTCTTTTAGGGGTGATGAAAGTGTTCTAAAATAGATTATGGTGATGGTGGTGCAACTCTGTAAATATACTAAAACCACTGAATTGTACAGCTTAAACAGCTGAACTTTATGGTACATAAATGATATCTCAATATAATACTGTTCTTAACAAGAAGCAGCAGCAGGAGGAGGAAAGAGGAAGTGGTGCTGGGCCCTCAAGGTGCAAAGCATTTCGCTTGATCCTCACAACTCTGAGAGACGGGTCTTGCCCTTCTTCCCATTTACAGGTGGGGAAATCTCAGAGCGGTGAGGGACGCCAGCCTAGAGCAAGATGGCTGGTTGGCGACAGGGCTTGGACTTGAAGCCAGGTCTTCCGTATTGTCCATCTTGGGCCAGGCCAGAGTGTGAATTCGTAGGTGACAAGGCAAGTGCTGCAGATAAGGAGGCATCTTCTCAGTAGGTACTGGAGAGGGGACAGTTCTGACCACAACAGGGAGAAGCAGACAAGGAAGAGGGGCGTGATCAAACACAGAAAACACTCCCCAGGGGCAGGTCCCCTGGCATAGTGGTTAAGTGTGCGCGCTCCGCTGCTGGCGGCCTGGGGTTCGGATCCTGGGCACGTACTGAGGCACCGTTTGTCAGGCCATACTGTGGCGGCATCCCATATAAAGTGCAGGAAGATAGGTACAGATGTTAGCCCAGGGCCAGTCTCCCTCAGCAAAAAGAGGAGGATTGGCATGGATGTTAGCTCAGGGCTGATCTTCCTCACAATAAAAAAGAAAAGAAAAGAAAATGCTCCCCTGCACCACACTCCATCCTCAGCCCTCACCCCGTTTAATCCTTCCAGTCGTGGGGGGAAGTTGTTTGTCTCACACATTCACCTCCATTTTATAGACCAAGCAGGCTCAGAGAGGTAAAATTGCCTACAAAGGACACACAGCTCATAAGTGATTTGGACCACGTCTCCCTGACCTCAGGGCCTGTGATCCTTTTCCTGTCCAGGCTGCTCTGACTCAGGAGGCCACTCCTGGGAAGGGGTGGGAACCCGCATGGGTGGCTCCAGGACAGGGAGATGCTGGGCTGGGTGAGGAAGGCCCGGTGGGGAGGCTGCAAGCTCTCATCTCGCACACCGAGGACTGCTGGTCTGGGAGGAGGAGGCTGAGCTGGGAGAGGCAGTGTAAATGAGCTGATTCGGAATGCCTATGAAGAAGCTGGCGCAGGCCAGAGAGGAGGTTGAGCATGCTGGGGTGCACACTGAGGATGGGGGCTTGTGCTGAAGAGACAGGGGCACAGCCTAAGCTAGGCATGGCAAAGCCAGACACTAAAAGCTGAGGGGAAAGAGTGAGGGGAGCTGGAATCCCAGAGAGCCCGTCAGGGGCCAGGCTGGCTGGAGCTTCTGGGGGCGGAAGCCTGGGTTCTGCCCCAGCCAGATTCCCCAACCCTGCTTTTTCTCCTTATCTCCTCTCACAGACATCCCCCATACTTCCTCTCTCATCTTTCCAGAAGCTCTGCTTTTTGGGGGAGGCTGCAGTTTAGGGGAGGGAGGTACTGCAGAAATGGCAGGTCTCCCAGTCAGCCCCCTTCTGAGTCCTCGGCTTCTTTGGCAAAAGGGTAGTCCCGCTTTTTGCATGTTTTAGATGGTCAGCCCGGCAAAGGGAGGGGGTCTGGGCCTCTTTCTTCTCTTTAGGATGGGGCAGTGGAGGCTGGGTCCCACCTCCCGCCGGCTGGCCGCCTCCTGGCCCCGGATGGCCCCAACCCATTGTCTCAACAAGAATAGAGAGAAGAGCCTTGGAAAGTGACATTATGAATGGCGAGGGGGCTGCTGGGGCCGTGACCAAACTCATGCGATGGGCTCCCCAGTGCTGCGCCCTGGCTCAGCACCTGGGACAGCGACTCTGCTGGGAGGGTGGGGGCCCTGTTTCCCTCCCCGGGACCCCCAAATCAGACTCGAAGCCACCCCTGTCCTGGCCCTGGATCCCTAGAGATGGGCTTAGGGGAGCAGATGCCCCAACCCCCACTAGAACTTCACTCTCATTCAATCAAAGTTTGAGAGGGAGTAAGGTGTGGGTCTAATGGGCTGGGAAAGGATTCTGGAGGCTGGGAAAGGGGCAGGCTTGACCCCCCAACTTTGCCCTGCTCTCATTGGCCCCTGCCCCCTCTCCTTTCCCCACCCCAATTGTCTCCGTGTCTGGGTCCTGGCCCTGGGAGGAGAGGACAGTGGGGACGGGAGTGGGGAGGGGGCTCAGGCTGAAAGCAGAGAGAGACCCAGCTCCAGGGAAGATGGAGCGAAGGACAGCAGCCTCGGGGCTCGACCCCAGACCTCGGCCCCCCCAGATCCCAGGCTTACCAAAGCAAGGCCAGAGCCCCCACACTGTGCCCCCCAAGTGTGGGGTGGGGAATGCTCACAGCCCAAGGGCCCCCAGGTTGAAGGCAGAAGACCAGGGCTGCTTGGGAAGTGGCCCGGGGCTGAGGGGGCCAGGCCTGTGGGGACATGGGGCTGGGGCTACTGTTGCTGCTGCTGCTCCAAGACTGGGGTAAGGGATGGGGCCACAGGGCAGGAGGGGAGAAGGAAGATGAGGGCCATGGGGGAGAAATGCGGGAGCCAGGTGAGAGAGGTGAATGGAAGGATAGGGGAAGACATAGGAATGGGAGAGTTGGGGCGCAAAATGGGGGAAGGAGGGGTGGAAGGACAGAGGTGATAGGAGTAGAGGTGCAGAAACCCTGTAGGACAGCCAGGTGAGGGGTAAGCAGGAAGGACATGTGACTGCAGGAAAGAGCTATGTAGAGGGAGAGCCTCTGGGGAGCCAAGACTGGCTCCAGTCCTGGGGCGGCGCCAGCTGGAAGGGGAACTGGGGGCACTGTGGTGAGTGCTTAGGAGGGGCTGTCAGGAAGAGGGCCTTGGAAAGGCAAGAACCAAGAGATTATCCCACAGACGTCCCTGCAAGTGCTGAGGCTGGCTGAGGCTGCAGGCTCTGGCCCCTCAAGGCCACTGTCTGTCTACCCATCCCCCCCATCTGCTGGGCAGGGCCCGATCAGCCTTGCAGGCTCTTATCATATTTACTGTGCGTGGTAGGGGGTCAATGCATGTGGGTCCACAGCTCTCCTCACGAATTTCTGGGCCTGTGACATTGGTGTCTGTTGCTTTGTGCTTGTGTATTTGTGACTTTGAGTCCATAGGGACACCTCTGTGTGACCTGTGTTTGTGTCCTCTGTGAGGGCATGTGTCTGGGGTGGAACCTGTCTGTGTCTAGAATGTGAGATGGTCTGTGAGGTTAGGATTTTTAGTCCAAGTGTGTGTGTCTGTGAGTGAGTGTGTGTGAGTGCAAGTGTGTTCCTTCCCTATTCAGGGGCCAGGGTCCTGGCGGGGGGAGCGGGAGGGGGAGAGCCAGGAGTCCTGGGAAGTTGACCCTGCGGGCAGACAGGCAGATGGGCCGGCGGGGGAGGGAAGGGGGACCCCATTGTCCCCCGGGGAGCACGATGCCCATGCCTGGGCCCCGACCTCGCCATCGTGCCTGCTGTGCCCGCTCCCCGTTGCCAGGGCCCAGCTGAAAGAGGCCATCAATCACAGTGGCCCACCAGGCCTGGCTCAGCCACCAGCCGGACAGCGGCCCTCCTGGCCCTGCTCCCCTCCTTGCTCCTCCCTTGCTGCCCCAAGGTCCCTCCAAAGTGAAGTCCTGCCTCCTTGCCCCTCGCCCAGGCTGGGAGAGGGTCAAAACTGAGAGGAGGCAGTGGGCCACAGGAGGCCACCATGTCCAGGCCTTGCTGGCTGTCCCCACAGGCCATGCTGCAGGCTCTGAGCTGGCCTTCGTGAGGGAGCCCGGGGACATGGTAGCCGTGCGGGAGCACCCACTGGTGCTGCCCTGCCAGGTGGAGGGTGAGCCGCCCGTGTCCATTTCCTGGCAGCGGGATGGGTTGGCTCTGGCCAATGACAGTGGTGCCACCCTCATGCCGGATGGCTCCCTGCATCTGGCTGCCCTGCCCGCCCGCCGGAGCCTCCCCTCTCGCGCCCACGAGTACCACTGCGTGGCCCAGAACTGCTACAGGCGGCTGGTGAGCCGATGGGCCCGGGTACAGCTGGCAAGTAAGTGACCAGGCTGCTCCTGGGGGGGGATGAGAGTGCATAGGGGCACCCACAAAGGGCACCCATGGGGCACGGAGTTGCCTAGAGTGGGTCTGGGCGGCGCTGACTTAGCCATTAGACACAGTATGCCCAGCGCCTAGGGCCCAGGGTACTTTCAGGGGCTCACAAAAATGTTTTAATTTTAATTTCTTGAAAACCAGAAGAATAAAATGAGTATAATAATGAATATATCATAACGAGTCCAGCCTGAATTAGATTTGTCTTTATACCAATGCAATTGTAAAATATAATTTTAAATGTTTTTTTATGGAGGAAGGCAAAGTGCTTATGGCCCACAAAAGCCACTGTGCAGGGTTGCATAGTGAAGAGGTCAGGGAGTGGCAGATGCGGGCACAGAGGTGGGAGCCAGGGCTCTGGGACCTAGCTGCTAGAGGCAAAGCCCAGGGCCGGCTCAGGGCCGTACTCAGGTGGTCCCCTGTGCCCTAGGTTTGTCCCGCTTCCACCAACATCCAGAGTCTGTCAAGGTGGAACGGGGTGGTGTCGCCCGCTTCCAGTGCCTGACCCGGGGGGTGCCTGAGCCCTCCGTTTCCTGGGAGCACAATGGCACGGCCCTGAGAACTGCCGACCACCTGTGAGCACCAGCCGGGAGTGTGGTGGATGGCAGGCTGGGGACCAGGGTGCAGGCTGTAGACTCCTGACTTCTGTGTCCTCAGGGTCACACTGCTGCCTGGTGGCATCCTCCACATCACCAGCGTGAGCTAGGCTGGTGGGCCTGGCTCACAAGATGTGGGCACCTACCGCTGCGTGGCCCGCAATGTGGCCAATACCCGCCACAGCCAGGATGCCCAGCTGAGCCTGAGCAGTAAGCAAGGACCAGGGGAATCAGAGTGGGCACTAAGCAGGGAGGAGGGTGTGGGAGCTGGTGCTACCAGGAGTGGGCGTGGCCGATGTGGTTGTACATGGTACAGATCCTTTGTAAAGACAGACATTTTGAGCACCTACTGTATATTAGGCACTGTGCTGGGTATGGGGGTATAGCCATAAGCAGACTGAACAAGCTCGGTCCATCACTGGCTTCCCAGAGCTTACAACCTAGTAGAGAGAGAGGGGCTGTGGGAACCCAGGGCAGGGGCCTCTAACCCAGCCTTGGGCTGTGGGCAAAGGATGTTCAGGGCTTCAGGAGTAAGCTACACCAAGCTGGGTGTTGAAGGGTGAGCAGAGGGCAGCAGGCCAAGGTCCGGAAGGTGGAGAGGGCGGCATTCCTGGCACTTCCTTGTGCAAAAGGACAGGGTGGGAATAGTATAGTTTATGCAGGTGGTTCCATGTTGCCGGACCATAGACTGGGCAGAGTTTAGGGTAACGAAGAGCTGATGTAGGAGAGGTGGGCAAGGGCCATTATGAACAGGAGTTTGGACTTGATCCAGATGGTGGTGGGAGCCCTTGATGCGTTTGGAGTGGCGCTCAGAGTCGGCCGGTGTTTTCGGCTGGGAGCCGATGCCTGGGTGCAATTCTGGGTGTGCGTATGTGCATGTGTTTTTGCGTATGTGTGCTTGCATGTACATGTGAGTGTGTGTTTGCAAACTTGCATGTCTCCTCCTTGGGGTGAGGATGAAAAAATCTTTGTACCTGAGATGAAACACCCAGGACGACTCCAAATGCAGGACAAGTGGGTAGGAGAGTTTTGTGCCCACAGTGAGGGTCACAGCTGAGTCTATGAGTTGGTGCCTAGCAGAAGACCACAGTGAGACTCACCCCACAGCCTGAAGCCAAGATGCCACAGGTGTCTGTGAGGGGAAGGCGTGCCAGAATCATCCACGAGGGGGCTCCATAGTATAAATAACAAGTGAACCTTGGGCATGCATCAAGGCACCTTCACATAGAATTTCAAAACATCTCTGACAAAATTTCACCAGAGGATGTATAATTTTTAAATTGAAGACTGAAAGGGGAAGGGGGAACTGTTCTGTCTCTGATCTGGAACTGACTTAGAAACTGAAAGCAAAGGGTGGGGATCAGGGCCTGCTCCCTGAGAGCAGAGGAAAGGCCGGGTGGGGTTCCTCTGGCTTCCCTCTTCCCGTTTCCACGAACCATCTGGGGCAAAAGGGCAGGGCATGATGCCGCACTTCCATGATGCTCCATGCTCCTGGCCAAATGCCGGCTATCAGGGGCAGGCACGGGTCCTCCATCCTGCTGCCCCTGAAGGCAGGGAAACGAAGGGCCAGAGAGCTTCAGGCAGGTCAGGAGGAGGAGGGGCAGGTGCTTGTTGGGAGCAGAAGATCGACCAGTGAGCAAGGGTTTTCCAATTGCCTAAATGTCAGGAAAGGAGCTGGGGTCAGTGTAGACTCTTCCCCAGGGACAGGAGCTGGGGACCAAGGCCCCAAACCATTCACTCCTATAGCACAGCCCGGGGCGGGCCTTACCCTGGGGAGGCACCAGGGAAAGAGAATTTCTCAGACTTTCAAGGAGCTCACAGTGGCAGGAGGGCTATCCTGTCAGCTGTTCAGTGCTTCTGCGATTCAGGTTTGAGTCCCATTCCTGCCATCCCTCTGACATTGGACAAGTTATTTAACTTCTCTGACACTTGGTTTTCTCATCTGTAAACCTGGAGAAGTAAAAGTACTTGCCTCACAGGCCATAGTAAGGATTAAATGGGACAATGTGTGTGCGCAGGCTCACAGCACAATGCCTGGCATGCAAGGAGTTCCGCCAGCGATGGCTGAAGTGTCATTACATGGTCCAGCCTCTTCCCCACTTAACAGTCTGACCAGGTGGGACACAGCCTCCTTGGCCAAGGCCAAGACATTCCAGGATATTCCACAGCCTGAACGAGAACTTGTAAGAGGCAGACTGAGGAGTGCCTGGCTCAAAGTAGGCCTTCAATATGAGGTCACAGAACGAATGGATGAATGAATGAATGGATGGATGGATGGATGAATGAATGAATGAAATACTACCTAGGCCTTGAGGAATATTTAGAGATGTGCAAGACTTTATACCAGTCCTTAAGAAACTTTCATTTTAGAGACACAAAATTTTATACGAGAAGTTCTTAATAAAGGACATTTACGAAAGGGTTAAAGATATGTTACAAAGTCTCATAAAATACAAAGTGGCAAAACAAAAACAGGGGTGACAGGATAAAGGAAGACAAAGGCCTGTCTTTCCCTGTTCACAGCTGTACTCCCAGCGTGAGAACTGTGTCTGGCACACGGGAGCCCCCCAGTGATGATTTGTTGAATAACCTAATAAAATGGAAGAGGGCGGCATAAAACGAAGATGCAGGTTAGACCCAAATAGTAGTGTATTTCAAAAAACGTTTACATCCCTCCTGAGCAGCTGAGACACGCTGAGTTCTGAGGGGGGCCTGGCTTCTTTCTGAGGGAAGAGTCTCCTGCCAGCTGTGCGGGCAACTTAGGGAAGGGGACGAGGCCCCTGCTCCTACCTGCCCCACAGGGTGACTCCCAAGGGAAGGTGGGGCCAGTTCACGTTCTGACACTGCTGCAGGCCCACCCCAGGTACACATGGGGGGCATGCTTACACTCTTTACTCTCTCCTCCCCACCAGTTTAACTTGGGGCCTTCTCAGTAGGCCAAAGCTTCTTAGCCCTGATATTTACTGCCATGGGACCTTGGGACAGTCATTTTCTTATCTGTAAACTGGTAATAAAATAGCAGCTGCCCAGCACTGCTCTGAGGTCTGGTTACTTGAGGACAAGAAGGGGGCTCTGGGAGTAGAAGCGTGTACTGGGCGTGGGGGACAGAATGTTGTTTCCTGACCCCTCACCTTGCCGTTTCCACCTCGGAGTGGGATCCCCGCGGCTGCTGCAGGAGCCAGAGATCCTGTCGGGGCCTCAGAATCTGACACAGTGCACCAAACGGCGGTGCTGGAGTGCATTGCCACTGGCCACCCACGGCCACTGGTCTCCTGGAGCCGCCTGGGTGCGTAGCCGCCCCGCCTCCCAGAGCCCAGGCCTTTGCCTTTTCGCAGCCCTGACCCCTCGCCTCCCTGCAAATGGCTGCTCCATTGGCGTGGAGGGCATCCAAGTCCTGGGCACCGGGAACCTTATGATCTCCGACGTGTCAGTCCAGCACTCGGGCGTCTACGTCTGTGCCGCCAACTGGCCGGGCACCTGTGTCTGGTGCACGGCACAGGGCGTCCTACTAGTGCAGGGTGAGCCCCAAGGTCTCGGCAGGGAGGGTCCCGGGGCATCCCATCCCCCCGGTGGGAACCTGGATGGGGAGAGGGGTAGGTGCAGGAGGGGGACAAGAGGCCAGGCCTCATGTGCCTTCCACCTGCCGTTGCCTATCCAGCTCGTCTTCAGTTTGTCCAGTGGACAGTCCTTGTCCAAGCCTCCAGGCAGCAGCGCCATCTTCACCTGTGTGGCCCAGGGTGTCCCTGAGCCCCATCTGATCTGGCTGAAGAATGGGAAGGTGCTGAGTCCTGGGGATAACATTCGGCTGACCCACGACAACAGGTACCCGAGGTACCCGTGTCCCACCCCACCCTGACTGCCGACGTAGGTACCCTCCATTGCTACCTGCACATAACACTCTCTACCTATATCTACTCTCCAAAATCCACAGAAACCCCCTGCAAGTACTCCCATCCATAGGAGGCACTGCCTTGCCTGCTCCACTATAGGTAATGCCCACGCACAGGTGGTGTGTCCTTCTGTGCCGGGGCAGATTTGTGGGTCTCTGAGACAGGCAGCCTCCTTTAGGGCCTCCCCACTGGGGACGGGGCTTGGAGAGAAGGAGCCCCCAGCAACTGTGTGTGTCTTTCCCTAGCACACTGATGCTGGCAGGGGTCTCAGCTGAGGATGAGGCCATCTACCAATGCACGGCAGAGAATAGCGCGGGCTCCAACCAGGCCAGTGCCCACCTGGCTGTGACAGGGGACCCAGAGCCACCCCCACCCCCAGGGGCCTGCAGGCGTTGGCTCTTTCCACCTCTGCCATTCCAGTGTTTTGGGAACCACCACCCTCCAATGGCGACATCATTGGCTATATGCTGCACCTCCGGCCTGTGGGAGGTGGGTGTGGGTGTGTGGAGAGGAATCCCCTGCTCCAGCCCACCTCTGCCCGTGACTGGTGGTGTCCCTGGGCAAGTTTCTCTCACTCTTAGTGACCCCAGACCTTTCTGGACTGTTGCCAGGCCTCTGGCTCTGTGGTCCTCTGGTGCTTCCTTAGGCTCTTCAGCCCCTTTCTCACCCTCAACCTTTCTCATCCCAGCTCCAACTTCTGCAGCCCCTTCCCTGCTCTCCTTTGGAGACCTGGCTGGCCCAGTGAGGAGCTTTGTGCTCACTTTGTGGGGGTGGGGATGTTTGTAGTGAGGGAGAGAGATGCTGGGTTGCCAGGCTGCTCTGCTCCTCACAGCCAGCTGGCTGGGAGCTCCAAGAGGCCGTGGGCAAAGGCAGCTTTGAGCACGTTTTCTCCAACCTGGAGCCTGCCACAGCCTACTCCACCCACTTGCGGGCCTACTCAGCGGAGTGTGCCAGCCAGGACTCTGCCTTCATCCACGCCTCCACGATGGGCAGCAGTGAGTGACAGCCTCCCCAGCCCTTTAGAGCCCCTGGCCCCAGGCGGACAGGGGCTGCCAACCAGCTCATCCCATTTCCTCTGCAGCCCCTGCCGCCCTGGGCTTCTCCACCAAAGTGCTCAACGCTACCTCCGTGCAGGCCTCCTGGGAGCTGCCACCCCAGCTGGGGCCCATCCAGGGCTTCAAACTCTTTCACCGCAAGCTGCCGGCTTCCCGTTTTGAGGGGCCCCTGCTCCTGGCCAGCAGTGTCAGCTCCTTCCTCTACACAGATCTGGGTGAGGCCCTGAACCTCCTTGTAAGCCACTCCTGGGTCCCTGTTCTCAGTGTGGTCTCACCCCAGGCACTGAGCTTCCTGGCCCAGAAAGGCCTGTTTTCCCTTCACCATCTCCTGCTCTCTGCAGAGCCAGCTGCTCTCTATGAGATCAAGCTCCAGGCATTCGATGGCAACGGGGATGGTAAGAGCAGTGCTCGTTTTGTCTCTTTGCATGATGTGCCCCTGGCCACCCCTGGTGAGTGGAGTCCAGTAGGAAGGTAGTAGGCCTCGGGTCAGAGCAGGCCACTCCCATAGAACCCACGGCTGTCAGTCTTCAGGGAGGACGGGGGACTGGGCTTTGCCTCCATCCTGGTCCTCTGACAAATGGCACTGTGTCCAGAGTCCAAACCTGGGTGCTCTTGCAGCCAGGATGAGAGCAGCTTGCTGCCTGGAGTTGTGGTGGGCATCCACGTGGGCGTGGCTGCCCTCATCATTTGCCTCCTCTGCCTTCTCCTGGGCTGGAGACATACGTAGTTACGTAAGGGCCAAGATGGCTAATGTGGAAAACTGCTAAGAAGATAGTCTGCATTACCGTGGCATAGGGCCAAAGAGCAGGAAAGAGCCGTTATCCGTTACTAATCCATTTTACAAATGAGGCGACTAAGGTAGAGAAAGAGAGCCAGTTCTTCTCAGAGCTCTGTGGTACCAGGAGTGGGAGGAGGCCTGCTGGGCTGCATGAAGCAAGGCAGAGAACACTGGGGCTCCCAAGGCAGAAGACAGGTGGCAGAAGCGGGCCAGAGCCAGATCTCTGTCATCCTGTGCACAAGGATGGGGCCCAGCATCTCCATCCCTGGGGAATAAGGAACAGGCTGAAGGGCTGGGGTTGATGGATGCTAAGCCAGAGGGAGGCCTCAGACAGGTCATGGTGCTGACCCTTCCTATCTGGGCAGACTCCTTTGCAGACAGGGGTCCCAAGAGTGCTGGGCAGTACCTCAGACTGCCTCAGACAGATCTGGGGACCATCGAGGCCAGGCTCCGAGTGGAAGGAAGCCAGGGGAGAAGATTGAACTCATCACTCAGGTGAGGGAGAGTCAAGTGAGGGTGAGTGGGTAGGGGGAAGTGGTGTGCTTGAGGCCCTGGGGTTGTCTGACCACCTCCTTCCCCCTCAGGTGACCGTGGAACAGCCCTAGGACCCTCTAAGTTGGCTCCTTCCCAGATGCCACTATATCTGGCCCCACCAAAGAATCTACCTCACCTGTCCCTCTCACCCCGGAGTCAGAAAGAACCAAAGGTCCCTGAGCCCCTCTCCAAGGAGGGGCAAGCCTGACCATAGGGAGAGAGGAAAGGGTATGGTTTCTCTGTTCCTCCTTCTTCCTCAAGAAATGGGGAAATCTGTGTCCTTCTCTCCAACACACCAAATAACCTCAAACTTAAACCAAGCTCAGCTGGGAGTTATCTCCAACCCCGTTACTCCTGCCTCATAATCTCATCCAATACATCCTCTTGATCCAAAAATGGACCTACCCAAAGATACATAGCTTTAAGGGTTCCCCCGAAAGGGGGGAGGCAGGGCTGTCACTACCTCCATTTCCCAACCAGAATCCCTAGTCTGAAATCTCAATTTCTGTCTCATGCCCAAGCTGAGGTCTGACGCAGGGACAGGCAACCTGCATTCCTTGTGGTCTGAGTATGCAGGTGGGCAAAGGGGGTGCTGAGTTGCTTGCTCCCTTGCCCCAACACCATAACAGTCCTGAACACCTGAGCTCACATGAGCTGCTTCTGCGAGCAACCAAATACCCATCTCCCCCTTCCCAGCTCCAAAGCATTGGCTCCTCTTCAAGAGGCATCCCTCCCCATTTAATGTCTATTTTTGAAAGGAGATACTAGTTTGAGTTGGAGTTTTGGTGGCCTTGAATCCCATGTAGAATGAGCACAGAGGCTGTGGAGCACCCCACTCATCTATTCCCCATTCTAGTGTCCAAAGAGCGCCTCTTCCCCACCCCTCCCTCTGCCAGCCTATGGCACCCAGGGCTCCACTGTCCCTCCTCATCCAGATCTACTATACACCCTAAAGCCAAAGCCCCAGGCTCTCCCTCAATCAGCCTCTCCCTCCAGGGCTGTCCAGTATTGTGCCAAGAAGTGGGGAAGGTCTTAGAGGAAGAAAAACCTAGGGCATAGGGGACCCCAAACATTGTTTCCTCTGTGCTCTTGTAGAGCATTGCTAGTACCAACGACATGACTCCAGCAAGGCTGGGCCCTGCCCCTTCACAACTGCTCCTTCTGCATAAGGGGCAGAAACAGCTTTAACTAAGACATGTGGCAGGGGACCAAAGGGTTAAGTACAGCCCCAACTTTCAAGTCCTTGAGGAAATCACATCCTTCTCGGGGTGGGCCTAGTCTAAGTGCTTTGTTGGAAATAAAAAACCAAAATGGAAAAAGTAAATAGGATCTGGTTAATGTTCTGGGTTGAAAGGAAAAAATGGGAGAGTGGGGTGATGAGGTGCTAAGACAAGAGCAGTTCCAAGTCTGAATGTTGCATTCAGATTAAGGAACTATATTCTGCAGTTTGCTAAGAAAAGAGCACTGTGAGCTGTTCCCCACCTGGAGTAACCAGCATGTCACAAAGGATTCAGTTACTGGAGACTAGAGCAATGGGATGAGAAGGGCCAAGGACAACTAACAGACACCTACCTCTCCCTAGGACAGAATGGAGACCCAGCCTCTGGGTTAAATGCCGCCTCTTTCCCAATACCTATAGACTTTAAGTCATCAGGTAACTAAAGTGGGGTCAGTGGCTTCCAGAACATTACTTTCACATAAAGGTGGAGGGGAATGAGAATAAAGAAGTAGGTAGGGGCTTTAAATAATCATCACAATTGAAGGAAAGGGTACACACCAAAGGTACGCCATGACTGTAGGAGTACAAGCCACATAGCTCATCTCCCAATTACCCCCAAAATTCTCCCACCAAACTGCCACCCCTGCCCCCACCAGCCAAGCCACAAGAAACAGGAAAGTTTAGAAACCATTCCTTTCTTTATTAAACATAGCTTGCAAGTGATAAATATTACAAAGTTTTTTTTCTTTTAATCCTTTCTCCAAAAATTAGCTTATTATTTGAATCTGTCACCGCTGAAATGCTCAGCAGCATCTGAAACAGATGGGAGTGTATTTGCCTTTTTGAAAACCAGTTTCTATTGGTCTTAGTTTTTTCATTTTAATTCCCAAACACAATGCAGAAAATTAGAATGAGTTGAAAAAAAAAAAAAAAAGGAAACTTAAAGAGAGCTGTGCAAAAGGGTCTTGTTCCCCTCCCACCCACCCCATTCAGAGAAGGCCATTCCCCATCCCACCTCCCTGCTCCCCACCTCCCACCCCCAATCTATCCTTCCACCTTCACCAGGGCCTCACCCATCATCCTGTATCCTCTCCAGGTTTTACCAGCCAAGAACCTAAAGAGTGTGGGAGTACTCAGCCCAGGCCGTGGGGAAGTTGGGCCCCTGAAGGAGACAGACTGTGAGACAGCTGCCTTTAGGGGGTTCAGATGAGATATGAGGGAAGGAGACAAGATGTGGACTATATCTGAGCTCTCCTATTTTGTCACTAAGAAGATGGGGAAAGTTCTGCATCCTGTAGCTCACAAAGGGTGTAACTAAATAGACCACCAACCTGGGGCATGCACTGGTCAACCACCCTTAAGGGCCCTGTGGGTGCTTGTGAGGTGGGGCTTGGGGCCTGGTCCCTGCCCTCAGATGACTAGAGGCATGAGGGCAAAGACGTCACAAGTCTAACTGATGTCCTAGACATCACTCTGCTGCCTTCCCCATACCAAAAGTAATAGCACAGGCCTGGCAGCTCTCCAAGGGCACTGTCACACACATAACCACTTCAATACTAGTCACTTTGGTTTCCTCCCTGGTTTTTCAGCCCAACACTTCCCTCACCTCAAGTTGTTTTGTTTTGTTTTGTAGGTGGGGAAGGAAGCATAGAATAGAATTTTAAACTTGGTGGCCAGATGATCTCTGCTGTCACTTCACCAATAAGAAAACTGAGACCCAGAAAATTAACTCTATCAAAAGTCACACAGCAAGTTAGTAGGAAAGCTTGGGACTAGAGCCCAGGTCTCCAGACTGTGCAACCACGCCACCCCCCTTTGTATTGTGGTTCTCTTTACTCTCCACAGTCTGGACTAAGAGCCTTAGCTCTCATAGTAGCCCAGCCTCACCCCAATTTGCAAAGCCTAAAACTGTGTGCAGATGGATGTGGCTCTCCCTAGGTGAGACTTTCTCAGGATGACTTGTTAAAATCCTTTCTTTCTATCTTCCCCTGACAATCCACCCTCAAAGGCCCATGAAACTAGGTTCTTTTTTTGGGGGTGGGGGTGGGGTGGGGTGGGGGAAATCCCTTGCATAAGAAAGCTTGACACTGAATTTTGTTATATAGGTATATTGTATATATGCTGATGCAATCAGAGGGGAAAAAAACAGTGCAAATACAATTACAATTCATAATACTTGGTTTCAATGCCCCCAGGAACTGCCCCATTCCTTGGCTACCTCCCAACCTCCAGCACTTCCCCACAGTATCAACCTAATGCTGGGGGGTAGGGAGGGTGGGCACGTTAGGGTAGGGAGTGGGCTCTGCCAAGGCAGTGCTGGTGATCCGGAGGGACTACTCCAGGGTGGGGAGGCAAGGCACAAATTAGGGATGGGTGGTGGGGGAGGTGGCATCTCTAAGGAGGGATGGGGTTAGAGCAGCTGCCAGTCTCAGTGTGCTGGGCCCGGCCCACTCCCCTACCCACCCTCCACAGCCCTGCCTCCCTACCCCCTCCCCTTCCCCAGAAACCCTTTTGCACGGATCATACACAAACGGGCACATTACAAAATGACATAACACAGTTTCACAATATCCATGGCTAGGGCTTTTTTTTCTCTTTTTCATTTTTTTTTTTCTACACAATGTACAATTCCTTTTAAATGGATCAAGAAATAGCTTATATACAGGATGAGTCCTTGTTATAACATCTCGGCAGCAAATATCATAAGCTAATGAAGGTCTTGTTGAGGGGAAGGGAGCCTAGGACTGGGGTGGGGGTGGGGGAGTGTGGAGAGAAGGGTTATGCCTTCTGGAGGAGTGGGGAGAAAAGGGAGTGGTTGGGGAAAAGGAACAAAAGTAAAATATCAAGAAGCATCTTTACAAAGCAGTTCTATAGCTAATTCCTTTTAAAGGGGAAAGGAAAGGTAACCAAAGCAGGAAAACATTAATCTCTGTGTCTTAAAAAGAAAAAATTGTCTACCATACATACATCCAAAAATGTGGAAAAAATACTTATTCAAGGATGAAGTCCAGATGCTGTGGTCAAATGACAAAAAAAAATTGACAAATAAGGACCTCTGTCCCTCAGCTTTACCCAAGCCTTACCACTCATCCACCCATTTCAGGCTTCTAGGGAGTAAGCCGCTGTCCATAAACTACTACTTTTAGAACTCTGGGGATGGAGGAAGCCAGGGAGAACTAGTGGGATCCTCATTCTAGTATTACCCTGAGCTTCAGAGCTCCAGGGGTAAAGGAAACTCTGAACAGAGGGTCTTTCCTCCTATCTTTAGGGCATGAGATTTAGTGTCTATGGGGCCCAAGGCCTGGGGATGGATAGCAACAACAGACTTGGAGGGACACAAGGCAATTAATGATGAAAAAGTAGAGAAATGAGGAAGACAGAGGACAGGGGAGAGGGAGGGAAGGGAGGAGGTGGAAGGCTAACACTTTACCATGATTAGGGAAACCTCACCCCCATCACTAATCCCTGGGAAGGATATAAAATTGGGAAGAGGAGAGGGTAAGAAATCAAACCTCAGTGATTGAGCAAAGGGTCATGGAGCTATACTAGTCAACGAGCAGCCTCTATGTAAATCGACCCTGAGGGAATAAAAATAGGGAAGACTCCACCCTCTCCCCCATTGCCTCAGCACCTGGCAGGCACTCAACTATAGGCTTTCCTTCCCCATCATTCCCCATCTCTACACATCTTAATTCCAATCCTCATTCAAAGGTGGCCTAGCTCCCAGGGAAGGGACTCAGCTCATGGCAGGGACGGCTCCCAGCCAGACGGTATTGCACATTCTCTGTTCCTTACTTTTAATCTCAACTGACAAACTTGGGCACCTCGTACCTCT